AAGTGGTGGAGACCTGTAAAGTGACACGGCTTTATGAGCGAACCTGCGCCTCTTGAATATGTTCAAATACTGTCTTTTAGACCCTAAGAACATCCTTTCTTTTGTGCATGAGAGGAATATAAATTCAAGGCTGATCCTCTGTCAGGCAAGAATTCACTTATATGCACACCATCACAAGTTTTTGGTTTTTTTTCTCCCCACCTCTCCCTATCTCATGACTACCACAACACAGAGCAATCTTTTAGTCCAATACCTGCTTCTCTAGATTACCTGTAGTGGTTTTCAACCAGAAAATTTCTCCTGAAAAGAACCCACATTTTTTCAGTCTTGCATTTCAGACTGTAGGTGAGTGCAAGCTTTTGCATACCAGTTTCCAGATAAATTTTAACAGAATGAGACAATGAAAAAAATAAGCCTATAACAGAGTAATTTTAAATAAATTATCAGCCTTGGTTAGATTAGGGAAGAGATTTTGTCTCCTCTGATTTTCCCTTTAACATGCTGAAATTCTGCAATTTAGTTCCATTGGTCAAGACAATTTGGCTTTTTATAGTTTGACAAGGAAGGAATAGTTTACACTTACTAGTTCTGGAGCAATAAGCTCTAGGTACAGACCCATAATTGTGGGTGACTGCAATAGATACCGTTGCCACGCAACAAACAAACTAGGACTTTACACCCACAATATGATAAATGAGTTGTAGCTACAATAACTGGCAGGTGCTAGAGAGGATAGTTGGAAAGATCTGAAAAGTAGTATTCGATGAGTGAGCAGGAATTAACTTCCTGATTCCTTGAGCAAGTGGAGGCTACAAAGACAGCCTCTGTTACTAGAAGGGAGAATTCATTAAAATTATAAGCACTAAAAATCTATACGACAAAGCCTCATAAACCTGTATTTTTTGGGCAAGACAAAAAAAGATTAGCAACACATCACGAAAGTGACTATTTTAACACTGTCAGTGGTATAGTATCTATGTGAAGTTATTTTTAGTGGATTACTGAAACACAAAATTATTGTGCTGATGTGGTATGCTGAAATTTGAATAGTATGAAATCTTAATGTTTTAAAATGTGCAGTTTCTTGTTTCCTATCTTTTCTTCCTAGTGAGATTTCCAAAAGGTGCCTAGGAAAGAAAGAGATGCAAATTCCATATTCCAGAATAACTTGAACCAAGTCTGTGGGACTACAAGCTTAGAAATTTAGGGAAATAAAAAATTAGAAGGAATGTTGACTTAAATCAACTTATCCCTTTTTCATAAGTATTGTCTTATGAATGCAGTGTATTCTTCTACTTCCTCAATTTACTCATATTAAGTTATTCTGTATTAAAATAATTCAGATAGCTTCAAACAGATTTGAAAGATACAGATACAAAAGCTCTGAATCAGCTGGAATATCCAGATTTCATTTTCATTCTCATTTCCCTCTTGTGCTCCAGTCTCACTTGACAGAAGAAAGCACTTTCTAGCATTTTTACTTCATTTTTTTGCCCTCCTTCTTTCTGGCCTCTATGCATTTTACCCTCTACTTGAAAAATTTTCTTCCCTATTTCTTTTCCGCTTCTGTTTTTACCCTGCTGTGGGGTTGGTATCCATTGTACTGCCTCATTACGGGAAGGCCACGTTGTGCGTTTCCTTATGAGAAGGAAAGATTGACTGTGTTTTTGATACAAATCTTTACATCACACTTGGCAGTAAATATGCTCTAGGTCACCCAGCAGGTTTGGGTTTGAACTGTAAAATGACTCAGTGCAATATTCCACTAAATATTCTTCATACATTCTAGAGAACATTGTGTTTTAGCCATCTGAGCCTTGCAGTCCTTTAGCAATTAAGTGTAAGAAGTTTAATGCAACATGACTGAATTTAGAATAACACATTATTTTTCATCTGTCACTACTAAAGGTGAAGTTGCTACAGGAAAGACCTGAAACCTTGGTTCCTGCCTCAGTCCCCTGCTCATTATTCAGAAAACTGATTTTAATATGAGCTGTATCTGCAGATGTTACAGCTTGACTTGCTAACTGTCGGAGAAAGGGCAAAGTGGGGAATCTTGTTCTAACACCTTCTTCTACAGCCAAAAAGTACCTGGTGGCTGATGGGTGAAACACAAAGCTAATGGAGAAGGCACGTACGTTTAAGGTGAGTCAAAGATAATTAGTTGGCAGAGATGCTTTCCCTTCATTTCTGCCGTAGATGTCACAATGAGGTAAAAAACCCCAGCACTGTGAGTTTCTGACTACTATGAAATCTTGCCATCCACAAGCCAGTTGTCCCAATTATGGTTAAATTGGTAAACTCTGGGGTGAAGGGGCTTGTTTGTTTTTAAACAGATTAGTGTCAAGCATTAGTTTAAATATTTACTTTAGATGTTTCAATTTTTTATTACTCAAATAAAAACATTTACATTTTCTGGTTGTCCAAAGACCTAAACACTGGAAATCCAGACCACAGTACCTCAATTTGTGCTCAAATATTAGACCATTCCAAATGTGTTAGAACTTGGTCGTTGTTGGTTTATCTAATTCACTGTGAAGAGCCAGGATCATGTCTTAAATATTAAAAATACAATGATCTCCTAGTGACATCTGTGGGAATGTTGCTATTGATTTCAGTTAATACAGCATACAGGAAGAGGTCTTAATGTAATTTGAAACAAGGGAAAAGTAAAAAGTTACAGAAATACTCCAAATATCAGATTTGGATACAGACAACATGCACACAAAATTATGGAAATTGCTCCTCTCTGCTTCTTTGCTAGCCGCCTTTAGCCTGTTGCTCCTGTACAAGCAGCTAGTGTGCCAGCTCACTTGGTGCTCAAGAGAACGCATTCCAGAAAAGCGGTTCACAGGCGTATCACAGAACTTAACTGATGACTACTGACCCCTTTTTTGGCAAAGCTAACAGAAGTATTATGCATGATAGAGCTGTTACAGTGGCCACTAACATGGCTTTTGGCAGGTCTAAGGGAACTCTCAGAACAGACAATTCCACAGCGGGCTGTGCCTACGGTAACTCCACTGGGGCTAGCAGGGGCCACAAACGCACAAATCCCAGCAAAGCTTGATCTAGTCTTTCCACATCCAATACTGCTCAGCATCCATCTTAATATTTTTAAAATACTAAAAGGTACAGTAATTTTTTTTTCTTTTTAAGCAAAGATACTTTTAGAGACATCTGAGGTCTATCATATTTCTTTGCTAAATAGGTCAGTGTTGTAGCCCAGCTTCAGAACTATTCAGACTTTTCCAAGAAAATGCAAATAATCTCTCTCAGACTCCTAACCACATTATCCCTCCTTTTCCAGTGTCCATTGACTTTCCTTATCTTTATCTCTATAGTATTCTGTCAGAGAGTATGCTGGAAGAAATCCAGAGCTGCTTTTCTCCTTGAGAATAAAAGATTTTTCTGCAGTAACAGTTCAAGTAGAAGATGAACAGAAAGCTGTGTTAGAGGCCTGACCCTGAAGAAGGTCATGTTTTCTCAACACATTATATCTAGAAAAAGGTTTATAATTACAGGGAAGAATTCATAGTTAATCAAAAATATATTTTCAATCAAAATTCTATATTGTCCCCAGTAACAGGGAAAACCAGTTATTTTCCAAATTCAGCTCAAGACTGCCCAGTTATAATATTTTCAAACAAGCACACAATATCCCACAGTCACAAAGTTCAATAGATTGCTTCCATGCCTCTGACCGACTGCTTGATTGCAAAAACTGTAACTATGCATTGGGTGACATTTTTACAAGACTCTGCATGGTTGTTACCTTTAACTTTCTCATACTTTCGCTCTATAGTTTAAAACCAGCAACTCTGCTTTCTGTGAACAACCTGCAAAGCAAATACAGAGCGACTACACAGGACTGTTTGCTTTGTGCTGTTTGCTGTTCTGCCACTCCCAGCTTTGAACACAGAACGTTAACACTCACACAGAAGTGGTTTCAGAACAAACCATAAAAATGTATGCAGCCACGTAGAAACTAGTGACCACCATCAAGGAGAGTCTTTCCCCTCAGTTCTGCTTCAGCAAAATCATTAAAAACAACATTTACTGAAAACATCCTTTTCTATCAGCTGAATGAACACTATTGAGAGTTACAGGAGCAGATGCAGGTTACATCACAGAGAGAGTCCCACGTTGCCCATAATCACAGGTTCACAGACAAGACACTTTATCAAGTTATTTTTGTTAAAAATCAAATCAAGGCTTTAAACAAATGTTTCTTCTTTACAGCTCGTGTTTCTTTGTTTCGTAGTGATGTTAGAATCTTTTGTCAGAAATATTACAGATACTTCAATGACAACTTCACGTTTGTGGATTGAGCAGTATCATTTTAGTGCTAGCCACAGGAGTACTAAATGAAGTGCTGATAACCATCTTTCAAACATTCAGAAATTACTTTCAGGGAAGTACAGAACTTGGATTAATTTTACATTAACATAAGTGTACTACATCTTTGACTTTACAATTTCTCTTTCAAAAGCTCAACTGGAAAATGAATATAATGCACCTGAGAACTTTTGGTGATATACTTGATCAAAAACAGCAAAGGAGAGCTAAACTCTTCACAACAGAACTCATCGAGAAAATAGTTTTAGTTTAGAACGGCTGTCATACACTAGGACTCCTCATACCAATATTCCATTGCAGAAAATGTCAACATTCATCTCTGTACTAAAAAAATCAAGCTACACATTTTGCCATATTTATTATCGAATTATGTGAACTTAAAAAAATAAATGCTTTTGAATGCATAAGCAGAAATACATTCACAATAGTAAAAAAAGGGATTTTGTCAAAACATTGTAAGCGCCTTGAGAAATAATATGCCTTAAAGGAATTCTAACCCCTTCCATCTGTGCATTATTTAAGAGTAAAACACACTTTTTCTGATCCTTTTCTACTTCACATAAGTTCTGTGAACTGCCAGCAGGAAAACAAAAATAAAGTTTATATTTTGAAGTAATTTTTAAAAATTATATTTCACTTACCTAGTTCTTTAGAAACTGGAGAAGCAGCTGATATATCCCCAATCTTTGCAAGGCTATCATAATATGCTCTTCCAGCCACTACCATAGCTTGGGGGAAGGGTGAGGGGAAAAAAAAAAAGTGTTAAAAATAAATAAAAGTATTTTCCATTTTCATTAATCTATGATCCTATAAAATTTTTAATCGAGGGCACACAGTAAGAGAAGTGTAAGTGGCAAAAAGGAAATTCTGCTATCAGAGAAAGTTACTTAAGTCCCTGTGCTACCTGCTAATTTGTGAAACCAGGTGACAAAGACAGAACGCCAGAATACATTAATGATGTCTCAGCCTGTTATTTAGTTCCAACTTTCATGCACGTCCAGGAGCCATCAGCATCCAGTTGGCAGGTTTAGTCATAAGCCATTGGTCAGGACATAAAAAAAAAAATCCGTGATAGATAAAACTGTTGGAAAAAAAAATGAAAATGCAATCCCAAACTTACTAGACATGCCAAGGTCTCTGCCCTGCATTGGCCAGCCAGACCACTGATCTGAAATGGCTACTGGCCACAGGACAACAAGGAGACATGGAGTCCTTCAAAAGCAAATCATCATTTACTGTTTCAGTTAAATGAAAGAGTAACTCGCTTCAAAAAGAAAAAAAAAAGCTATGATGAAATACAGTGTGCCAAGTGTGATATATTTAAAAGTGAAATATAAACACCAACTTTTCCAGCTAAGGAAATTTTAGGCCTTAAATACTAAAACTTCAAAAATTAAGTCTCTGACAGATGATGTTCAGGTTAAAGAGATAGCCTAGATATGCTAGATAATCCATTTGGCATTCTTTTCTCAATTTTCAACATACCATGAATGTTCCCGAGATTATTAAAGATTACATTGCTCAGCAATTTAGGGACTTTTCAAGTTGGAAGATCTCTGATTTCTTGGACAGACATGAAAAATCAGCATTGCTGTATACAATTTCTGCACAGAGCTATTTTGACACTCTAGGAAAGTGCCTACTTTTATCTTCGCCACTGACCTCAGGATGGCAGAGAAATCTGTATTCCAAGTACTTTAAGCAAACCTCAGGCAACAGGTGCATATACAGTTTAAGAAGAAACCTGAAAGTTTAACATTCCCAACCAAGACGACAGACCCTAGTTAAATCACTTGGATGCTCATCTTCATCCTCCTCCCCTCCCCAGACGGCGTCCCCCCTTTTATTTATAGTTCCATTCCAGTTTTACAGGAACTAATAAGCTCTTAATACATATCACTGAGCTTTCAGTTATTCTCAGTTAATCATTTCCTGGTTATAGCCAATTTAAACAGCAAAGCCAGTTTTGCTAGAATGAACACGGAAACATCAAGATTCAAACGGCAGGGAGGCCAGCAGTAAGAAACATTTTACACATGTAGTAGATCTACACCATGCAATGGTTGCCTTGCATCTTCATAGAATCTAGAACTGATCCGCACACCACAAAGAAAAGAAATAACATGGACAAGCTGGCAAGGTTTTATTGTAAAAGGCAGTGAAAAATACTTCTTCAAGTAAGTCTTCATAATTTCTTTGTAGGAGTGCATTTTTAACCTAAAGTGGAAGCCAAGCAGACTCCCACTGTTGACTTTAGCGCACTTTTTTCTGAGAGGAATAGAACTGGCAATTGCTAGTTATAGTATTTTAGGTCTCTATTTTACAGTTTTTACTAGCAAAGGTGACACCTTTGGTTACCTAACAGTATGTTCACTGAGAAGCCTGAAACTCTTCCAAATTAAACAAAGATTCTTTTTGAGATTCTGTTGCATTAGATGAGTAATTTCTGTCTAAACTGCATCCCATAGGTGTTCTATATTCAAACTTTCTGAACAGAAGAACTATAGTGGGACTACTGATGGAGCAGGATGCCACCTGGACGTGAAGATTTTATGCCATTCCAACTCTTCCTGTCTAATGTTTTCTCAGGATAGCCCCAAGTCAATCTTTCATCCTAATATAGGCACTAAAAAAAAAAATAAATTGTGTGATTTCTCCTGTGCTAATCAAACTAAATCAAGAACTCCACTTGTATAGTCTCTTCACCAGTACTATGGCTAGTAAACTACTTCTGCAGAAAAGGAGTTTTGACATTTTATCCTCCAAATGTATAAAAATACATTATAAACGTATCAGCAGTTCTTGCAAGTTTTATGCTGTCAGTCTACTCTGACTCGTTTGGAAAGCTGCAAAGTATTTGTTTAGCAACAGGGTATTTACTCCTTGTTACAGATCTATTTATACCACTCAGAACTTATGGAGGAAAGATTAACAATTTATGAGAGCCCAAAAATGACTAATATAGTTTCTCAACAATTGTTGCAACATTGTAAACATTTATTCATTGGAAATTAAGCATTCATGCCAGATATGCTTTATCTGCCAGTCTCATAAGGCAAACTAGCTGGAGCACAATACCTATCGACCTCTCCGGCGTTGCTGAGCACGGCTGCACTGTGAGTTACTCATTGCAAATTGAATTAAAGGAGAAGAGGCACAATGTAACACATCAACAGTAGAGTATGTGAAAACCAGAACCCTCAGAACCTGGTACAAAAATCTTTCAACCAAACATGGAAACACTTGTTATTACTTCTGGTACTATCTATAATCCCTAAGGTTAGGTATTAGGTAAATACAATGTTAATCCATCAGGTTAGGCCTTACTGCAAGTCAGTCAACATTTCCCTGTTTTCATCTCCAGCAGGCTTGGTTTTACCTTTTTCTTCAAGCCTGGTCTAAAATTTGCATGAAGAGACATTTCAATGTCTATTTGGCTATGGACTACTGCAGTATCACATTTCTCCGTGTACTAGATTACATGTAGGGTAAAAATATGCCACAGGCTTGAATGAGGCAAAATTAGAGAGGTTTAATATTGTATCAAGCAGCTCAACAGGTCTGCATAGGTGAAACGGAGCAAGCTCTAACAGGTTCTACAATATAAGCTTTGGGAATCTAGAGCCCGGTCTTGGAAACCCATTCTTAGATAGATGGTTTCAGTGAAGTCAATAATGGAAGTAAACGACCACATTAGAAAAAGTTGGAGAGACTGGGTCCTTAGATTCATGTTGATTCATTCCAATTTTGACTCAGCTAAAAAGACACCATCAGGTTTAGTATGGATGAGAAAATAAATTAATCCACTCCTGCAACTCTTACTCATTCAAGTTGTTCTGTTCACGGGGTTACTTAGGTAGTGATGTGTATAGGTGAGCAGGAACAGATCTAAGAATGTGAAATATCTTTGGAAGATATTTCCAGGGAAAAAAAGAAAACATCTAACTTACATAACTTTGGTTCTTTTCCATTTACATTCTTATTCTAATGTGGGTTATTTACACGTGATGCTCAGTTTATTTTGCAGTAGCTCTGTGCTTAAGTGTTTGGGATACAACTTCTGCAAGACAGGGAAAAAGGAGAAAGTACTACATGTGTTTGGATGTTTGTGCCTTTTTTTTTTTTTAATTTGTTTTTCCTAATGAAAGACACTGAAAATTCAACCTGGAAATTAAGCTTATACACAACCCTCATATACAATACAAATTAAACATTCTTTCTAAAGTTAGCACCTAGAAGACTTACCATTAACAGCTTTTTCATAATTCTTCCCCAGATTTATTAAATTCCTCAGGCCTGGATTGAACTGTTCCATAACATTCTAGTGAAGAGAAAACAAAATTTGCATTATAGCCAAGGCAGTTCAACAGGGGATGAAAGTATTTATCTAGGTGTTGCTTAGGTCTAGTTTTGTGTTTCATATGTACAGCATACATCTGAAAAGCCTGTGAATGGATGAAAGATAGAAGACTTGGGAGGAAGAGGAGAGCAAAGGATGGAAGGGAGATGAAACTCAGCATTTAAGATCAAACAGGAAAAAAAAAGGTAAACTATTCCAATAGAGGTAAAAAGGAATCTGGCTGTTTATAATATAAAAAGATGTCAAGTACGTGATCAAAGTTTGCGCAGACCCTTCTTCTGTGGCAGATGATGGTGAAATAAAAGTGAGAGAAAAACGTTTATCCACTAATTGTTTTAAAGTCAGACAATAACACAAACTTTTTAACAATGGTTCAAGATTTGACTTCTCTCCCATCACCCTGCACTGGAAAAAAAAAAATAATGCTGGGAAAAGAAAGAAAGAAAAATAAATTAATCAGATGTTTGATTAGGGGATGACTAAGCACTTTATTCATCTATGTTACAGATAGCATTTAGGGGAATTAGCTGGGGTTTGTTTGGGTTTTTTTTTTTTAGTTTGACAATGCTGCATTCTATTATGTGAAGCCACAGTTCTTTCAGAAAGAAAATTAAAGTTATGACCTTATTTAAATAAGAGAATAAAAAAATCCACTGCAGCTGCTTTGGCTGTTACATACAATTATCGGCTGAAACAACCAGAATCTGGAATCCAGCAGCTCCACATACCTAGCAAATTCTATAAACTGATGAAGCGGTAGAAATTGTGACTGGCAGTTTCATAGTGCAAGAAAATAGCTACACCATTAAATAGCAAAGTTTCAAGCCTTCACAAAAACTAGAAAATAAGTTAAGCCATGAAGTAACGCAAATTTGAATTTTCCCTAAGTTGGGGAGTGAAGAAAAGAGGAGAAGCAGCTTCTGCCCATTCCAGAAAGGCAGATCACTCCAAATTCCAAGTTGTCCCTACTCATAGGAAAGCTTCAGTTTCCTTCTTTCTGGTCAAAGACAACAACTCTTCCCTCCCCCCAGAATCAATATTCCAAAATTACTTTTATCTTATAATGAGCACTGAGGAAAAAAAGAGTTGCCATGCCGATACAAATGCAGTAGTTATTCACTCCTCCGAATCACACCCTTTAGGATGTATTGAGCACAGGTACCACAAATAGCAGTATTTCAAACTATTGGATGTTGCAATTAACTTCTGAACAATGCTAAATCCGTTTGAAAGAGAGCCCTCTGAGCATCACTTATTTGGTGGCTTCTTGGTTTCTTCAGGCAGAATCACTATATGCATTGAGGACACAGCACGTTTGCTTAACAAAACCCCTCTGAATGGACACAAACAGCTACCTCTGAGCAAGTATTCCAGAATTTGCCCTATGTGCCTGGTCACTTAACAGTCAAGTAACCACAATGTTCTAAACCTTTCTTTTCTCTCCCTACAAAATACAAATTCATATAACATCAGCTGCTAAGTCTCAGGGACAATTTGGAAATGAATATTTTCTTTTTATTTTAAAAATAAATTTAATACAAGCCCTGTATTTCCAGAGGGAAGAACCTTAGAAGTTTTTGCAAATTCTAGACCTTCTTTTCCCAGAATCTTCCTAACAAAACTATAGCTGTGACACGATTCTCTAAAATTTTATCATGATGAAAGGAAAATAATGAGATACCCAAAGACACCATTCTGTTACTCTTACTACATCTATGACAATATTTTTATGACACAACTTGCATCTTTGTAGATATTGTTCACACAGCAGTACTTTCAAGTTCAAGAAGTTCAAAACAGACACTTTCTGTTTACAAGAAATACAAGACAAGTGAAATAGTGTCAAGCTTCTGTCTGTTATACTACTAATAGAACAAATATATTTGTATTTAGTACATACATGGACCCAGAAAGAACAGGGATACCATCACATTTATCTTATTTTCAGGCAAGGTCATTCAGCCAGAACTTTCTTATTCTTTTTCAAATACAGTGCTATACCTGAACTCCAATGAATTTAAAAACTGAAGAAAAGAATTAACTCCAGATTTCACCAGTAATACTTTAACAGTCATATTGAGTAAAAAATATACATATTAAAAAAATATTAGGTTCTGATACTGTTACACTATATGAGACATCAAAAGCAGACACAGAACAACAATACCTAGCCCCACTGCCTTTATTTGTACAAATTAAATGCAACTGGGACTGTTTTCTGGTCTATACGATTAAACATGTAAACATCCAAACATGACCACTGTATGCAAACTGCCTGTAGCCCCCAGGCCCTTGATTTGTGTTAACTCACAAACCACATCCAGAAATCATTTGGGAAAGTGTGTTTCAGGTTGGGCCAACAATGCCAAGGGCTATTCTAACAACAGCATGGATTTTCAGGCTCTAGTGTCTGGGAACATCCTTCCTCCTGCCCCAACTCTTTAATTTACTCCTGTAGTGTTGCTGGTGTGCCTCTGTTGCCCTCCCTTGTAGCTGAGGCAGTGTGACTGTGAGGCTAAAGGGGTAAGTTTTCCTATTCCAACTTTTTGCCATTTTTTCCCCAGCAGTGTACTAATGATGATGTCTGTTGGCATATATGGAGTCAATGAATCATAAGAAGTAAAAGGGGTGAGTTAGAGGATTGTGTTAGGACAGAGTCCCGTATTCCAAGGGTATGGGGGAGATAAAAGGGTACACGACAGAGACCGTGTGTGTGCGTGGCAGGTAAGAATCCCAATGCCACCCTGAATTGCCACCCTATACTGAAAATAATTTCCTCAAAAGAGATCCAGATCATGTCCCTGCTTACCCTGCTCCTCACAGGAAAAGCTTACAGAGTAAAACCCTTACTGCCACATACCCAAAAATTCTAATAGTAACATGACTACTACTGGCCTTGAAATACTGATTTTGGGCATGACTGTCTTAAGGATTCAGGGGTTAGGATTCCAGTTTTCTTGACATCTTCTAATTGATATTTCAAACAGAAAACAGTGATTGCACCTGTATCATTAGCTGTTTTCATTTAGGAGGAAATGAACACCACCCAACAAAAATGCCCTCAGCAGCTCTCCTCTCTTGAAGCCAGACCCCATAGCTCTATTTTCACCAGCCAACTTGATACGTATCAGGTATTCACATATGGCAGATAAAGACCATGCTGTGGAAACACAACAGGTCTGCTGAATCAGAGAACTCTGAGGAAGAGCTCCAGCACATCACATCTGCTCGATGTTTATGTAAAACTGCTGGGAAAGATGAAGAAACAATTTACAGCTCAGTGCCTTCAGCAGCTGGAAGGCATACAACTCCTGGATCTTTTCTCCATTAGACCAAGCAGTCTCTGGAAGTTTTTCAGTCTTTGTGCTGCCACAGTGGTGGATTGTTAGCAGAAGCGTCTGCACCAGTCTCTAGACGTGAACGCCCGAGAAGCAGCAAAAACCTTTGCAATGGAAATTCCCCTTTGGAATTTGCTTGGTTTAACACAGGGTATGGTTAGCTGATCCTCACAGCTCTGTGCAAGGCTCATTACTTCCCTACTAAGGGTTTGTGTTCGATAGAAAGACTTGGCTCCCCCCGCTGGGTCTATTAGAAAAAAGGCTAATATGGGGTTTTTTGTTGTTTCTGCTGAAGACTAGATTCTCAAAGCAAACAAAAACTTGACCTTGCTTCTAGTGCTCTTTTCGTGCAGTTAACCACTGTTGCTGTCTTTGAAGTCCTGTCCAGGAAGAAATATCCAGAGCACTTTTTCAAAAAAGGGAAACTGTCACTGGCAACTCCCTCTTCAGGATCAGGTATAAATTTGATATTGCCAAGACATACCAGATCAGTTAAAATTATTGTAATATTTTGTTCAACTTCAGAAGTTACAGGGGAAAAAAGCAGCCACACAAAAATCAGTCTGTATAGCTACTTATTTTCAGATGATGCCTTAGTTTTATAGCTTCCCCTACTTGTAGTCTAAAGAAAAGGTCATGGAAATGAGTGGGGCTGAACACCAGTACAAAAATCGCAAGACATACATTAAAGCCAGATCTGAAAACTTCTAAAAAAAGCAGAGAGAGAGGAACAAAGAATTTCTGATTAAGAGAACCACTAATTTAAAATTGTTAAAACTCTCAGAAAATATCACAATCTTGTTGTCTGCTGTGCTGTACAAAGTCATGGGAATAAAACTTCTGTCTTAATCCAAGCAGACATGACAAAGAAAGAAAAAACGCTAGGAAAGACAATGTACTTCACAACACATCATTCGTCTGTACAGTGAGGAACACAAACTCGGCCTCCTAATTGTCAGTGCAGTGTCCTATATTCTAGTGACACACTACCTCCCGTGAACAGAATAATTAACTAGAAGAGAAGAGGAGGCACATGATCAGATCCTACAGCTTTCTATTATTTAGGATGAATGGAAACAAAGGGAAACACTTTCACAACAGGCAACAGGAAACATCTTTTTATGCAAAGAATTTGAGAGTTGGAGATCTCTTTTTCTTAGAGATCTTCCAAGAAAAAGCATAAGAGAAACCTACTCTGGTCATCCAAGTCGTTAAATCCTCCTATAATCCAGTAGGAAAGTTGCGATGTGCCTGTCACCACATGAAACCAACATGAGTTAACCAGCCCGGCAGCAAGGAGCTGACTGAGGAGGAACAAGCCTTGCATTTCCATTTGTTGTGCATAGGTATTATATCTTCCAGTTCCTGAGAGTCACGTAAACAACGTTAATCTTCAAAACAAATGACAGCCATTGTAGAAGTGCCTTCCTGTAAATGCTCAGCTTTGCTTTTTACTTAAAGACACACCTCGCAGAACAATAGCTCAGCAGGTATGAATACCACTAAACAATGCATAGACTCCCTGTAGTTTCAACTTTACATCCTGCAAGCACTTTTGCAAGAGTGGATAACGGTGTATTTGGGTAGAAATCTGAAATTACAAAACTAGCACAGAAAAG